AGGGAATCAGCCCTAGAGCAGGCATGAATGTCACTATGGAACTCAGATAACTTTGTTTACTTCCAGCCTATAAACTGAGTTCCAAGGTGAGGATTTACTTAGACATAAGCCTCCAGCAACTTCCTATAGCCACCACCTGGAGCATAAACAATCAGAGCAAAAGCCCTGAACAAAGGCCAACAGGTCAGGCTGGTGGCCAGCTAGGTCCATTTACTAAGTCAAGGGAATAAGGTCCAACTCCCCCCCACCACCACTCTTCCTCTATCAGAGCTAGCAGAAGCGGCCGCACACCGGCTCCCTAATGTTCTCCACCTTCACACTGCAGCAGGTGAGACACCTCACGTCTCAAAGCACAGACCCAGGATGCCGTGAGCAGGCAGCCTGTGTGTGCAGAGTCTCCCACGCTGCAACTCTTCATGCTGAGGCCTATGGGCAGGTGGAGGCTCGCTTCAGTCCCATGGCACTGCCCTGAAGCACACAGGGGACAGGTACTTCTGGCCTGCTCTGCTCTTGCCAACACCAGCCTGCAAGAGTGTACACTCACTCTCATCCCTGTACTCATTTCTCGAAGCACTGAAATCACTCCTCAATTCTCCCAGGACAAGGTGTGCCCTGCTTTGAAACCTCAACCTTGAAGCCTCCCATGAAATAGGTGTCACCTGCCTCTTCCTGCTAGTACCCCTGTAAGTACTGGAGACGGCCCTGCTCAAGAACTGGCTAGGTAACACACAGCTTAGAAGTCAGTTTCCACGTGGGTGTCGTGTCCACTAGGAGGTGGGGTGAGAGGGTGGAAAGGGAGACAAAGGCACTGGAGGTCACACAAGAAAAATATCTGCTTTTTATAAAATGACAGGTGGGTTTAGATCTTCTACTACCTAAAACTTAAAAACCAATACACAGAGCTGAGCACAGTGGTGTGTACCTGTCATCCCACACTACACAGGAGGCTGACATCAGAAGGATCGAGGTTCCAAGTCGGCCTAGCAAAAAAGTTTGAGAGACACCATCTGAACGGAAAAAAGCTGAACGTGGCAGCATGCCTGTCATCCTAGAAATGACAGGAAGCATAAAATAGGAGGACCACATTTTAGACCAGCCTAGGTAAAAAGCAAGACCCTATCTCTAAAATAACCAGAGCAAAAAGTGCTGGAGATGGAGTTCAAGAAGTACAGCACCTGCCTAGCAAGCACAAAGCCCTGAGTTCAAACCCCAGTACCACCAAAAAAAAAAAAAAAAAAAGACCAGTACACAACATCACACAAGATCACAAACAAAAAAACCACTTCATAAAATCAAATATTAAACTAATGTCTATTCTGTCTGATTCAGTTACTAGTTTTAATGACTGAACAGCCAGAAGACCATCTGAAAATGATTTTGGGAATGTAACAGGATCCTTACTAGCTTCATTCACTATAAGAAATTACTTCTGACTTCTCCGAAACAGCAGTGTCAACAGCAAATCTGCGAGAACAAGGGTGTTTGTATTGGAATCCAGGCTTCTTTCCACTGACAGTGATAAACAAACGAAACAAAAAAATTTTACCTCGTTGAGCTCAGAAGAACCTTAGCAACCTGGAATTCACTGCACTGGAACAAAAAGTTCTGTGAGATACTACATCAAAGACGCAAAGTTCAAAGTGAGCATCAAATACTAGTCACCACTGTCCTCTAGGAAAAACCAGCACTATCTAGTTTTACACGAGAGACCAAAAAGGTATTGGTATAAACTCAGGGCTAACCTAAGCGCCGTCCTGGGAAAGGCCCAGGCAACACTGTACCACTCCTAATACCTAAGGTCCAGGCCCACCCTGTGATCAAGAAAATGTGCCGGACACCAAGACAGAACAGCTGCCCTAGTGATGGATCTGGTCACTCACTCAGGCCAAGGCTCTGTAGAAACAGAACACTCGGCCTCTGCCAGGACCATGATAATCTCGATGTCGCCATCCAAGGACATGGACCTAGTGGAGTCTTAGCAGTGTGGATGTGGAAGAATGTGGGTCAGGAGGACAGCCCCAGCCAGGCCATCTGGTGGTTGCGATGGGTAGGAAGCAGCTTTCCAAAGGGCCATGGTCTGGCTGCCAGTATCCCTATGACATTCTGGCCCCAGGGAATGTGTAACCCAGACTTTATCCTAATTGGCGATCCCCAATCTGACTTCTGCAGCCACACTCCACCGTGTGACCCCAGGCCAGGGTCAAGAGACATGCACTTGAGGCCGGAGAACAAGGTCAAGACATACTTCAGGACCCTGCACGAGCTATGGATCTAGAGGGTTCAGCTCCTGAGTCAGAGCACTTGAGACCAAACCTTGGCCCTGGGCACACTATATAACTATTTGACATTCACAGTCCTCCCAAAAGTGGGGCTAATAAGAACAACTCCCACCTCACCGAGGCAGCCACAGAAATAAAAGGAATATTCTATATAAAGTATTCATGAAGCCGGTACGCACCATTTTTCAAATTCTTCTTATTGTGAGCGTTATTAAAACTACTAGTACTGCTGCAGGCAGTACTACAATGCGGAGAGACCTCTGCTGCTACCAGCACTCTTCTGGGACTGGAGAACACTAGCGTTCCGCGTACGAACCCCGCCAAAAGCACTGCTGAGTACTACCCTGCTGATAATACTGCTGTAGTGCTGCTCAGTACTGTTGCTGCTGCTTCTAGCACTACCTATTAGAACTGCTGAGTACTACAGTTGCTGCTGCTGAGTCCTACTGCCGCTGCTGTTGCTTCTAATATTGCTACTAGTATTTGTGAGTACTATACTGCTTGCTTCCAGTACTGCTACTACTGTGACGACTTGCCCTCTTCCTCCTGAGAGTGAACCCCGTGTTTGCCAGGTCTCTGCTCCCCCCATTTTTGCCCTGACTGCCTAATCAACCTCCTTAAATGGCAGGCTAGTATTCTATTAACTGCACTAAGCTCTCCCCAGTCTTGGCCTTCCTTTCCCACACCCGACTCCCCTCCCCCGGCAGTAAGTACTACCAGGGCTGGCCAAGGTTGACATTAATGGCTCCATCTCTGCAGTGGAGCTTCCTCTCTCACACAACTTCTGCAGCATTTCCCTCTGTGACTATATCTCCCATAACGTCTGCCCAGCAAGATCCTCAGCTCATTCTGAAATGAGATCTGGTCACCAAGACGGGGCTTAGGAGACCCCATCCAAACACCAGGCAGCCTGTGATAGCAAGGCAGCTATAAACTCATAAGCCCAGCCCCTGTGCTACCCTGCAAGATCACCCTGTTTTCAATTTCTTAAGCACCTGCTAACAAAGGGAAAGCAGGATTAGGAGAGGGACACACCCGCTCTAATAGGTGATCTGACACTTAGGTAAAGACATTTAGAGGCTACTTGCTCCTGTCCACATCTTGCCAGACACATGGCTTGGGCATCAGCACACACCAAAGCTCCAGGGCTCCCTGGTCTGCAGAATCCTGGGGACTCTGCTGGTGAGGTTTTACCACATGTGCCAAGAAACTCCACACACACAGGCCACAGCAACACCAGCTGCTATGCTATTTAGTTCAAACCAAAACTTGCTGGGACTATGTGGAAATTCAGCATTGGAACACCCTGGCATGAGTCAAAGATGGGCTGGGGGGTTGAAAGGTTCCTACACCCTCTACCACCCCCAAATCAGCCCCATTGCTACATCTCCACCTGGCCCTCACTCTGGGTGGCCCCCTTTCTAAGGCAGCATTCACCCTCTGGCACACTGGTCAACACACCCCTGCCACCAGTGACAACATCAATCTCACCGAACCATCTCTGTTACCATTACCTGGCAGATACCTCTCCAGTGGTATAGAGCAGAGCTCACTATACACCTCCCCTGTCCTCTGTCACACGGTCCTTCAACACAAACAGAGTATGCTAAGCAGGAGCCATCCCATCTCCTCTTGCTTCAAATCAACTGGTACACTCATCTCACCAAATGCATTTGTGACAACTCCTCACCCTCCTGTACAGAAAGCCACCCTTTCATAGAACTGCAACTTCCACCCCAATTATACTCATGTCTCACAGGACTTCCAAGGTCCCAAGGGCTGCAGTAAGATACCATCAAGGGCACAAGTCACCCAGCCAATTTTTCAGCATCCCTTCCAACACATCACAGACCAACCAGAACAAGCAGACCATCTGCCACTGTGCCCAGGCAGAAGACTATCTTACTGAAGGACTCCAGCAGACACTCTTCAAGATAACAGAGGTCATTGCCCTCAGGGCTTACTGTCTTAGATTTTTCCACTGAATATCTCCTTCCACACTCTACAATGCCAGGCTACCAAAATTCTACCTTCAACTAGCAATCCATCCCAACAAGGACAAGAAACCGAGACGGTGCATGAATTCACTGGGATACAAATCAGACCTCCTCCACAGAACCAATCTGACTCACTAGGAAGGGGGCAGCTCTTGGGCTCCAGAGAGCTCTGACCTCTGGGGTAATCCAGCTAACCCACACACAGGACCCCCAAGTCCTTCCCGGAAAGCACTGATCAGATTTGGCATAATTAGGTTAACAATTATATGTCAGGCACCAGTAAAATGTCTTATATCATTCTGGGCTCTGATCCAAGTATACTTTCTCTAAGCCACATGTGGTACATCTCCTCCAGGCTGTAGGATCCTCTTTTGATTGAGGATGGTTCTTGGAATTCATAACATTTACTGAGCACCAACACTGTCACAGCTTAGTATAAAACAGTACATTCTTCCAAGATACCAGATTTTAACTGTTTAAAACAAAAACATAGGAATGCCCTCAGGCCTCAGTCACTTAAGTATTTACCCCCTTTCAGAGATAAACACCATTATTGAGCTACATCAGGCTTCCAGACATATTTTATGCCCACTCCTCAGCACATTTTCAAAACCCACCTGGCCTCTTCTCTCATATGGTTCCCTTCTATTTAAATACTGATCAGTGCTAGCATGTCTCCTCCATAGATACTGAAAAACAATTCACTAAGTATAAAAACCTTTACCTCAATTAATGTAAAAATTCCCAAAATTACGTAAGATTTCCAGTAACACTTTATGATTGCTTTTGTTAACGAAGGCTTCCGTGCATCCTTCTTGGCTCTGAAGACTTCTTTATCCCAGTACCTACAATGAGACAAAAGCTAGGTGAAAAACAGGACATGCTGTCATATGATAAAACAGGGCAGGTGGCAATGGGACAGACAGACATTTATTACAGGGCATTCTGAGGCTGTCCCACAAATGCTGGCTAACTGTCCCTAGGGCTCCTAAAACACAACATGCAGAATCTGTAGCACCAAAAAAACAGGCCTCGAGGGAAGAAATCTTGGGAACAAGTTACTACCGAGTTTGCTGACTTAACATCACACTTAGTAGCCCGAGATGACAGACAAGGTGCAGACAAGCCGGACACCTGCTCTAGGGACCGATCTCAGGCATTCAAGACCTGCAACACTGGCTCCTTCCACTTCTACCAGAAACACGTTTCTACCAGGCCATCAACATAGGCCAACCCTGGGGACAGCCTGAGGGGAGGTATGTGATGTCAGAGGACCTAGGCCCCAAGAGGTCCTGATGGAAAGCAAAGGACCCATGGGATGGCCAAGCCCGTGCCAAGTCACAAGCCACACTCAGAAGTTCTCATCCTTCCTACCCTTCTCTTTCTTGCCTCTTGCTTACCCTTGTAGCTCTTCTCCAAGGTGTTTTGAGCGATCTTGCGGAAGCACTGAATACATATCATCTTCTTCTAATCTCCTTTTATGACCAATTTTAAACAAGGGGTTTAACCACCTGTTAAAAATTAAGAGAAAAACAATGACATATATCCAAAACTGTACGTTTGTATTTAAGAAGAATCCCACCTCCAGGTGTTTTATAAAAATGTGCATTTAAATATACAGAGCCCTAGAAAAATTAATTATGTGCACATGTTCTCTCTCTCTCTCTCTCTCTCTCTCTCTCTCTCTCACATACACACACACATCAGCTCTATCCACCGAGAGGGCATTCCAGCACCCAGATCTTGGTTTCTGAATACCATTCTCCCCTAAAAGGAACAAGGGCTCCTTGAAGAAATGGCTAACTCCAAGACTAGGGCAGAGAAAGTACAAGACGGCCCATGAACATCCTGCACCATACAATAAGGAAGTTTTCAGAGAATCATAAGGATGGGTCCAAAGGACAGAAAAGTCAGCCTGAGGAGGTCATATGAGACAAACCTGGGATAGTCTGAGCATTCAAATACATCACGGTAACAGTGAGTCATAGACACTGAATAACCAAGGAGTTCATGAATCCTTATTGAGATGTAACAGGGAAAAAAGGAAAAGTTCTTGCACGGAAGGAACAATGGAGTTAGAAAACTACCAACAGAAGCCAAAACTAGTTGGTAAAAGTTCAATGAGAAATAGAATATTCATATAACCTCGCTCTACAAAGTACTTACTAATTATCGAAGGAAAAATAAAAACAGCAGAGGACAAAGAACTTATTCAAATACTTCGAGGAGTTGGACTTTGAGCACATGATAAAAGCGAGAGCACACAAGGGAGGGGTGAAGATAGGTAAGACACCTAAAAAATTAGCTAGCATTTGTTGCCCTTAACACAGAGAAACTAAAGCAGATACCTTAAAAGCAACTGAGGCCAATAGGAAAAGGGGACCAGGAACTAGAGAAAAGGTGAGATCAAAAAGAATTAACCTAGAAGGTAACACCCATGCACAGGAAATTAATGTGAGTCAACTCCCTGTATATCTATCCTTATCTCAACCAGCAAAAACCCTTGTTCCTTCCTATTATTGCTTATACTCTCTCTTCAACAAAATTAGAAAGAAGGGCAAAATAGTTTCTGCTGGGTATTGAGGGGGGGGGAGCGGGAGGGGGCGGAGTGGGTGGTAAGGGAGGGGGTGGGGGCAGGGGAGAGAAATGACCCAAGCCTTGTATGCACATATGAATAATAAAACAATAAAAAAAGACAAAAAAAAAACAGAAAAAAAAAAACCAAATACCTCGAGGATTAAAAAATCAAAACGGTCATTATTCGTCAAGAATGAAATAACCTTCAGAGATAACCCAAAGGTAAACATTAGTTTATTGATTTTTTGCAGGATTAGGACATTTCTAAGGCCAGATAATAACCCATTAAAGTAGACTGTGATTCTGCTATTGATTGCTTTATCCCTGGCAGCACGGGCAAAGGAAGAAAAAGAAGGGCTCCATGAACGTTTGCTAAATAAATGAATCCATGAATCTTTAGGGATGCAATCACAGAAACAAGGCTTCAGTCTTTGCTAACCCTGGGAGCCTGGTTCCTTTAAGCTCTAGTCTAGGAGCTACAGACAAGATTCTCACCCCAGTCCTGGTACTGGAACCCAGGGCACCCAGCCTCTGTCATTCTCCCCTTACTTCTACCTCCATGACATTTTGCCCATCACTAAATAGTTCCATTTCTCAGTCCACCCCTCTCCAAAAAGAAATACAGATTTGTGAGCTTTTCCATCAAACAGATTTGCAACCTGCAGGGTCCTTTATCCTACAGTTGTTATAAACTCACGTCCTTGGCAATAGAGCTGGCATGGATGATAATGCCTTGCAAAACCCTCTCTAAAATTCTGCCTGAGCACATCCTAGCTGCAAATCCTCTGGCACTAGAGTCTAGACTCTGCTCCTCTCCGGTTGCAGGACTTAGAATCAGTCATACTCTTTCTTTTATGGACCTTGGGAAAATGGGGAGGACATCTGAAGCTAACACATAGCTTGGTTTTTGAGATCAACTGTGTGGCTTTGAACACTACAAAGTTCCAGCAGACAAGTATTAGCCATGGTCATGCCATGGCTGTAAATCAGTGAAGACTCAACAGTAACTTGTTCCAGAGACTTTTCCCCTCATGGCTGGATTCCTTGTTGCTAGGGATTCTGCATTGAGTACCTTTCAGAAGCCCTCGGGACAATTAGCCAGCATTTGTGGGACAGTCCCAGAGCATCTCTCTTAAGTAATCACATCTGGGCCTGATTAGAAAGTCTCTACTAACTTTGATAGATAAAATAATCTAGCAAATTTCTTTCACCTGTGCTCTCTGGCCATATGGCATCTTCAGTTAGTAGGCATGTTTTACAGGAGAACATGTAACCTGGGAAGCTGTTCCTTTGGGGAGTCCATGGTTTTGGGGGATCTGATGTCGTTAAATGATGGGCGTTCAGTGGTACTAAGAAGCAAGACATAAAATCAGCTTCCACTTAGCTTCTCCTCAGAACTCAGGGTGTCCCAGGGCTTTCTAAGGGCACAACGGTTTGACCTGGGAATGTCCACAGCCCCCAGGACTGGAGCATACATACACAGGTATCCACGTTAAACTCAGGGTCCCAGAAAACTCCAGTGCCTCTGCCCGACCCACCTTGGGGATTCTTATTCACCCAATAGGAAGAGGAACCAATCAGCCCTACTCTTTCTCCCCACTTCCCCCTAAGGTTCCAGAAGACTGTCACCTGGCCTGCCTAAGCTCAACATAGGTGGGTCTCCCAGACATGTGGAGAGGTCTCCTACACACTTGACACCTTTCCTTCCAGGAATGCATCACTCGGGACTTTCCAGTAAGTGATTCTAAACGGAATTCACTGGGCTCTTTGCAGACTGAAAAGGGGAAGAGTTAAAAGTTAAGCAAGGGGCTCAGGGGATAGCTCAGCAGTGGAGCTCATGCTTAGCATGCACGAGGCCCTGAGTTCAAACCTCAGTGTCCCTCCCCCAACAAAAGCTAAGGAAGGTGAAAATGCTATCCGTGTTCCATGTGCTGAACAGTTAACTGCATTATATTCAGGAATTCTATTAGAAGGAATGCCACCTGTTGAATTAACGAATCTTTAATTAAAGACTCAAAGTTTCTAATAAAAGAAGTCACAACAATCCCTCTCACTTCCCTAATCTCAAAATGCCAGGCTGAGACATAAGGTATGTGGCCTACTGGGACAAAGACTAAAGTCTCTTTCACCATCTATAAAAGAAATTACATATAGCCAAGTGCCAAATAACATCTCAATCAAAAATAGACTGCATATCCGATGGTGGTCCCTAAAACTGCCTGGACTAGTGATGCGTAAGCAACTCTTCAATGCTCCCAGACTGACAAAATCACCTAGTGACAATCCCTCTGAAAGTGTCCTGTTATTAAGCAATGGATGACTGTAAATGAAGTCCCTTGGGGGTTTAGTCAACAATTTCAGACCACTGCCAAATGAGTCACTCCCCAACCAGTTCTGTCAAGAGTCCTCTCCAGGGTTAGTCTCTTTCCCTCTTTGTCCACAACCCTTAGTACAGTAGCAGCATTTCTCTTAACTGTCCCAGCATGAACTAAAACTCCTCAGGGCCACAACTACTCCCAAACTACATATGCACAATAAACAGCATTGAACGAATGAAGTCTTGGATAAGACAGATGGCTGCATTATCTTGAATTGCCCTAGAGTGCAAATCAAAAGAAGACCAAATAACAAAGTCATGCTCAATTCCAAACACAGGAAGCCATCAGCTTGAGAGAGACAGAGATTGACGCCAGAAGAAACAGTAAAACAGCTCACAGCATCATTTCCAGATGGCAAGAGACTCTTACACACAAATTTATTAGTGTTTGGATGTTTTGCTTATTGTTATCGGTGTTTTATTTTTTCAAGAATTTGAGAAGTTCTGAATAGTGTTTCTCCAATGTGATATAAAGGAAAATACGAGATCTGAGTTCAGCATCCTGGAAAAAAGTCCTAGTTCCCCTCTCTGTGGCTGGACCCACGTACTCAATTTCCAGGAAGTCCCTGCTCACCACACATAAAAGGGGAGGAAGAAATAAAAGCTAGCATGCCTATGGGCTCATAAGTCCCCTCCCTTTCTCTTTCTCTCTCTCCTGTTCTCCCTTCAGCCCTCTCAGTCTCAACATCCGGAGAGTTCTATTTCCCTTTACGCCTTCTTCTTGACTTTTGTTGTAACCAATGGCCAAGATGGAACTAAAATACTGTTTCGTTACTTGATATTTGTTGAATCAAAATCAAAAATATTCTCTTTCTTTAATGAAACAATTCAGTATTTTATACTCCTCTCAAAAATTTAAGCCTTTTATGACCTTTTAGGACCCTATAAATATATTCCATAAAAGAAAAGAAGTACCACCTCCCCCTGTACTGGAAGTAAAAACAGGAAAAGAGCAGCTGTGGGAGGGCAGGCAGATTTTTCTCTGCTATCTAATTACCAAACTTACCCCCATGAGTCCAGTGAGAAACATGTCTCTGCTTAAACCCTCCAAGTCCCTAGCTTAGATGAGAGTTGAGACAGCAAGAGAAGGCTGAGGGCACCTTGGATGTCAGTTCTCCAGGGCAGCCTATGAAACGACTTCACTTAAGTTCCCTGATATTACAGGATGTTCCTGATATCCAGAATCATGTGAACTAGACCTTGACCTTAAATGCGTCCTTCCCTCAACCTTTTCTATTAAGGGAGAAAAGGACCAAAGTTCTAGTGTCATTCCTATGTCTTTGAGCAATTATCTGCTGGGCCACATACCACCCTTGCTATAATTTGGAGCCTAAATGTCTCTTACAGACTTGGTCCCCAGTTTGGCACTATTGGGAGGTGGCAGTAACTTTAAGAGGTGGGTCCTAGCAGGAGGAAGTTAGTCACTGGGGACGTGCCCTGGCAGGGAATATTGGGACCCCAGTCCCCTCTTTTCTTTTCTTTTCTTTTGTACCTGATCATGAGGTAAACAGGCCTCCTCTGCCACACACTGCTGCTGTGATGTACTGTGCCACCACA